TTGTACAGTAACATCATATCTGAGCCGACTAACGAGCTGTGTTTCAGGTGTTTCTTTGTTTTTCCAAAGCATCATAAACAACTAAATTCATATATTGTATCATATTTGATATAACAGCAATCTTTTATATTTAAAAAAATAAACATGTCGAAACTTTGATTTGGCTGCTGGTGGACTGTTTCTTGCTAGATGGGAACGTCTACCCAGGTGATTAATCTGGGAGTTCCAGGAGACGACTCACCATCATTAGTGTTGACATGAGGCTGAAATCATTACAACAGAATAGCATTGTTGTCGTTCTATTACTGTTATCATTTATCCTTTTCAGGGTTGTGGGGAGACAGATAACCATTAGCACGCACATTCACACCTATGGGTAATTTAAAATCACCAATGAACCTAAATTAACCTAACCCCATGTCTTTGGAGTGTGGGAGGAAGCCGGAGACGATCCACACAAACAGGAAGAACCTGGCCAGGTGCAGGAGTGTGGTGGTTGGTTTGTGAGCCACCAGAGCTAACCACCACACCAATGTGCTCGCCTATTATGTTATTCTATACAACAAAATATAGTGCAACTGTGTCACTGGCACAAAAGGTAATACTGTAAATTTAAAAAGATAGAAGATTAAAGATGAGATAAAGTAACACATTTAGGTTATCTAGGAACATTGTAGAAATAATACTGCACAGTCAGTGCATCAATACTGAAACAAACTTTGTATAATATCACATGGGAGTCTTAAATATAATTTTCTATAAAAGAGTCGGCATCGGCAGTGCATTATGGGATGAGTAGCTCACTGTTAAACAATCGCAAATGTTTCTCCTTTATTTTTGTTTATTTATTTAGTTACTTATTTATTATTTTTAATTGAATGTTTTCTTATAGTCGCAGCTGGCTCTTTCTAAACCTTAAACTTCTTGATTATCTGAAATATAAAATGTACTTTCACGGACGAATCCCTTTAAAAAGTGGGAGCTCAGCGTGGAGCTCCAATAAAACACGGGCGGAACTACAGTTCACTCCCTTCTCTTCTGCCGGAACTCGACAGTGTGACACTCGGGTCGTAAACAGCAGCGGCGCAGGCGCTAGCAGCGTTAGCTGCTGGAGGCAGGATGTCTTCAGCTCAGTGTTTTCCTCCGGCTCATGAACTCTGTCAGGCGGATGTGGAGCGAACCTTCGTCCGCTGTCAGGAGGAGCTGCTGGACATCAGCTGGAAGCCTGAGATAAAGTTACACCGAATCGGTAAGAAACGATGACATGTTGCAGGGTTTTAGGGGTAGCAGAGAGCTGCAGGTATTTCCCAAAGAGAAAA